CCGCGGGGAGGACCAGCCGCCTCGTCCCGCCTTTTCCCTGCTTCTGCGGGTCGCGCGCCGGCCTCTCCTGCCTGGGCAGGTGGAAGGAGGAGGAGGAGGAGGAGCAGCCCTGAGCCTCGCGAAGGGAAGGAAAGGCCGCCGAGCCCCGTCCGTTCCCAGAGGAGGCCAAAGGGTCGAGGCCGGGGCAGCCCGCTTCGCCCTGGGCCCGGAAGGCGCCTTGAAGGAGAAGGGTGGAGTAGACACGTTTTCAGTCAAGAAAGGGGGAGCCTGTCTCTGGGCATGTGCAGAAGGCCTGGGCGGACTCCCAGGGCCCCTGCCCTAAGCGAAGGGTCCCCTTCGCCAAAGGGCCTTCTTGGCCGGACACCCGGCCTCTCGGGGGTGGGGAGGGACAAACCGGGCCTCTTGGTCCTCCCCTCAGGCCGCCTGCCGGCTTCTGGCCCAGAGAGTCCATGGAGGGAGCCAGAAGGCTTCTGCTTCCCTGCGGAGGAGGATTCGCTGCCCAGCGGGAAGGGCAGGGAGGGCACTTGGGGCTGAACCTGCCGGTCAGCAAGCCTGGGAATGGTCCCACTTGCCGGACTCTGATAACCAGCATCCTTCAGCCGGCAAGCCCTGAGCAGTTGGTTCAGCCAGAAGCTCCCCGTCGTCCTCCGGGTCACCTGGCGGAGGTCTGCCTCCTCAGTTGAGGCCGACACAAGAGTAGGCCCTCCTGTCTCAGCAGGAAGTGCGAAGCACTCTGCATGTGGTCAGAAGCTGTCTTTTCCACCTACATTTTCTTCTCTGAGCAGAGATGCAGCTCATACCTGTCTGGGTCCCTTTCTCCTCTGAAAGGCTGGAGGGACCGTTTACTCTTTTTGTTTACAGCATTAAAGCATTTGAAGACAGTGCCTGCCACGGCCCTTTCCATTTGAGGGCCAAAGCTGTCCCCGCCGCCGCCCGTCCTGGGAGCTCCAGTCCAAGAAAGTTCATTTTCCAGAAGAATCGCCGCTTCCACTGGATAAGCAAGACAGGGGCGAGGAAGCCAGACCCGGAAGGCCTGAGCCACTCGTTTCCGTGGAACATTTTGAGTGGGGAGAGCGCCTTTGGCACAGCTTCCCAACTGCAACAGCCTCCCCCCCCCGCCACTCTTGTTCTGTGTATTGACACACCAGCCCCTTGGGGGGAATCTTATCAGAATGCAGGCCATCTGACACCTGACCTCGTCTGGACAAAGGTAACTTTCTGTGCCTGCGTGTGTGTATTTAGTCGTGGCTGAGACGCTCGCTCGCCTGGGATGTCTCTCTGGCTGAGACGTGGCTCAGCGGAGAGCAAAGTGCAGCTCTCTTGGTCTGATCCTGTTTGCAGCCTTTTGGAACAGGGCTGCTGAGGGCGGATCCTGAGCAATACTGCCTGGAGGAAAGTCCTGCTTGGCGGTGGCTGCCCGGGGTGAGGGAATTTCCAAAGGAGAAGGAAGGGCTGCCAAGGCTTGAGCTGACGTCAGTCAGAGCTATGCTGTCGGTCCAAGCAAAGGGCTCGTCCCCCTGGCCCAGCTGTGCCCCAGTGTCTGGCTTGGCTAGGCTGCCTGGGGGATGATGGAAACTGCAGTCCAGCCCAGCTGGTTGGAGGAGGATGGCCTGTTCCACTGCCTCTTGTTCCCAGCGCTGGTGATCCAGCTGCCTTTGCAAAACCCTTTGCTGTTCTTCACCACATGCACCTGTACTCAAAGCTACACTGCCTTGGCACATGGAGGCTTCATTCAGCAGAGCAAAGAACGGATGCCATTATGCCTCTCCTGCTTTGTGAACCTCTCCTGTCCTTGTTTTAAAAGCCACTTCCTATCCTGAGGGAGGAGAGACACCTGAGGGGAAGCTTTCAGGTGCAACCTCTGGCCTGAGGGTGAGCGGCTGGGGGGGGGACATTCCCCCTCCCAACCCAGGAGAGTTACTGTCAATCAATACAGGCAAGAGACCCAGCCGTTCTCAGGCCAAAGCTATCAACAACTATCAAAAGTTACTTTTTGTGATTTGATAAGGGCAATGTTATATATCAAAAGCCATCGTATCTGTGGGTGGTGATGTAAGGAGCAACAGGTTCTAGGTATTTTTAAAATCTACTTTTTTGAGTCTTTCTGAGACATTTTGACAAGAATTATAGCAGGGATGTTTCACACTATTTTAAAATCAAGGCTAAGGTGTGGGTGTCTTGTTTTTCTTGATGACTGAGGAACAGACAGTGCAAGAAGCAACTGAACAAATTATGTCTTAAGAAATGGATAAAGGATTACTTTTCAAACTTTACAGAGTAGAAGGAAGTGGTTGCTTATACATAAAAAGCAACCGTCTTCAGAGCCCTGACTGAGCTTAATGGGCCAAGAATCGGATGAACCGGTACAAGTCTTGTCCGTGTCGGAGGGCGGTGAGTGCTGCGCAAACACTTCCCCTGGTCATCCCCAAATCTCTTCCGAAGGGGGTCAAGAGAGGTTGTCCTGTGAACCAGACCTTCTCCTGTTCAAGAAAGTTCCCCTTTGGCCCCTCGGCTGTCCTGCCACAATCCTTTCCATGGACCAAACACCACCTTGGCCCCGTGGGGTCTCACCTGTGCCCCTACCCTCCCTCCCTCCCCCTCACACCAAGGGGCCCGGGGCTCCCCACAGGGCAACTGCTCTACTGAACTGGCTCTGGCTCTGGCAGCCGACCTCGGAGGCCCAGAATCAAGGAGACCCCCCCCTTCTGCAGCTGCCTGAGCAGCAGGAACCAGGCGGGTTTGCTTTCCCACCACCACCACTGTCCTGACCTTGGAAAAGCATGACGACTGTACAGGCCACACGGCTCAGTTGCAGGGACTGCTTTTAACAGCCCCAGCAACACAAACCCTCCAGCCACTGAGCATCCACGGAGCGTGTCCTGTTTCCCAGGGAGCCACTGGGCCCACCTCCTCTGAGCAGGCGTGGCCGTGGAAGCCTGGGGAGCCTGGCCTTTGCAAGGTACAGAAGGAAGAGCACGTGAGCTCAGGTTGTAGGAAGCCTTTGCTGCTTCACAACAATCCTGTTTGTTAGGATGATGATCCTCCTCCAATTAACAAGCACAAGCTGTGCATCAACCAACCTATCTCTTACGTCTGCTCTCCCCCAACCAGCCACCCATGTGACTAAGCTTTCACCGCGTCTCTGGCAGTCTCTTGACTTGGGCCAACATCTGTGCTGCCACCACGTTGCTGGACTACAACTCCCATTGTCTCTCATGCCACTTGCTCTGCTTGTTAGGGCTGATGGGGGGGCAGGGGCTCACCCTTGCTTCAGGGCCCACAAGCTGAAGGAGCAGGTGCTCTGGGAGGGCCAAGACAAACCCACTACTTTGGAAAAGGGGGTGGGGGTGGGGGTGGGCTACCTCACAACCGACCCCACAGGACTAGTACTGGTCCAGGGATTCACAGAGCGCCCAGCCCCCTTGGGCTTTGCAGTCCTCACCTGATCAGGATCCAGCTCCCATCTCCTGCTCCGTTGAATTTGGGACCCTTTTCGCACCGCAGCCACTGGACCGTCTGCCTTGCCTCTCTGTCAATCATTAAAAAGCCCCCCCCCTTCATCATGCAACCTGCACATTAGAAGCAGGGCGTTGGCAACAGGCAAAGCAGCCTCTCCTCCCTTCCCTGAACCTCCCCTCTCAAAAGATTTGCCAGGCCAAGGCAGCTGCCTCCCCCAACTCTGCACAAGCGTTTTTGCCTCCTCCTCCTCTAAAGCAGGTGAGCTGGTGTCTCTCTCACACACACTCTTCCCCCAGGCACCTGCACAAAGAGCAACCTGGTTGTCAGGTAACTTGATTCCCCAGCAGGAACAAGGAAAAAGCCACACCCATCAATGGCAAGGTTTCAGAGACCTGCCCGGCATTGCTCTGTTGTCAGGTAATGGGAGAAGAAAACACAGGAACACCCTGGCTCAGGCGGGCACAATGAGAGGATGAGGGCTTGCCTCTGCAATAAATATTGCAGCCGCCCCCCCCCACCAAGTTTTTGCAATAAACATTGGCCACACATGGCGATATTTAACTCAGGGGAGAAACTCCCGCCCCGCCCGCTGCAGGTGTGCCTCTGATGGCTCACCCAAGTCCAAAGTTCCGGATGGAAAGAGCTGCGGATCTGACTAGATCCGGAAGGTGGCCTGGCATCCTCTCACAGAAGCCATGCTTGGTGAGGCCTGATGGAAGCCCGGGGGAGAGCCAAAGGTTGTGGGCGATGTGAAGCTGCCTCAGGGGGCGTCAGAGCCCAGGGAAAACAGGGGGACCATGTGAGTTGTTGGGGCTTTTTGACAGCTATTTGGATTTCCTCGTTTTGAAAATATTTTCTCAATCCACACCTGCCTGCCTGCTTCCCAGTGGCAAGGCCCCACTTGTGATACCTTCCTCTTGAAATTCCCGGTCAGTATGACAAAATGGGCCAAAAAAGCACTTCGAACTCAGGCAGGCAGGGAGGACAAAAGGGCAGGAACCTTTGCTATGGGGGGGGGTGTCTTCCCCCCCCCCCAGTGGAGTGTGAATGAACAGGGTGGGACCACAGCAGGGTCTAGCGAAGGCCAGCCCGAGTAAAAACCTGCCTTTGTGCTTTTGTGCCTTTCTGCCCCTGCCCACCCGTGTCATGCCATCTGCTCTGCCAGCCACGGGAAGGGGCAGCTGCCACCAGCCCCTTGCACCAGTATTTGCAAACCGGTTTTTTGACCACATGTCAAAATGCAACTCCTACGATCAAAGAAAACAAACCTTTAAAGAACCCAATGAGACCTGAACCCCAGCAAACCACCATCCCTGCCCTCTTTTTGACCTCAGCCCACACACGTTGTCTCCATGGGCTGTCGTGCATCAAACAGGGCTAGCTGGGGTGTGTGAGAACACTTCAGCAGTCACAGCTGAATGTGGGAAAATGCCTCCCACCCCAGACTGTCAGTCAGAGGTTCCACGACTCCAGCTTGGTGGCCTGGATCCACCACCCACGTTCAGGGCAAACCAGGTGGCGTGAGCTGAACTGAAATGACCCAGAATAGTGAGAGAGTCACACATGGGACGTTGGTAGATCCTTTATTTGCAGGACACTCCCTGATGAAGAAGGTCTGTTGTTACATAGGGTTACACCCCATCTCCAAACGTGCCAGACGTACAGCACAGACATGACAGGCAGGAAACAAGTTTGGGGAGGGAGCCCAGCTTCTCTGTTCAGCAGGCTAGCCCTCCAAATTCTTCCCCCACATCAGCATGCAAGGCAAAGAGAGCCAGGCATCCTGGCTTCTCCCGCTCTTCCCAGTATCTGAGAGGAGACACCACAGCCCCCAGTCCAGTAGAGAAATCAGCCCAGTGGTGGAGAGACAAGGCAGCTCCCTGACGCACAAAGCTTTAGCCGGCAAACACCGGTTCTCCCCTGCCCGCCCGCCCGCCCGCTGGGGGGCACTGGCCCTCGGCTAGGCCGTGCGGCTCTGCTGCGGAAGACCCCCTGAGCACCCCGTCCCAGCCGCCGCCTCTTCTCCTTTGCCCTGGACACCTGCTCTCCTCAGCTCTGCCTTTGCCTCCCCAGCTCAGGCAGATCTGCTCAGGGAGCGGCTGCTCTCGCCCAAAGGACGCCTCATACAGTCTCTCTCTCTCTCTCTCTCTCTCTCAGCCGTCATTCTCACAGGCAGCGGCAGAGGAAGCAAGACCACGGGAGACGGGGCCGTGGCTGTACACTCTTCCACACTGAACAACAGCAAAACGTGTCAGCAGAGAGACGCCCCTGAAGCTGGAACCCCTTTGGCCTGAGGGGCTGCTTCCACACATGCCAGGAAATGTTAGGGAGCGTGCAGAGCAACACTGAGCCAGATGGTCACTTCTTCCGGCCCAGAATAATGGAGGTTTTTAGCACTTTAGGGACGTGACGGAGGGTGAGTGACACTCGGGTCCTCCGGTCCAACGTAGCCCCTAGGGCACAGCCGCACATGCTTGCGTTGGCCACTTTCTCCGTAATCATGTCCTCTGACACAAGGCGAATGCCATGAAGGTAACGGCTGTACATGTCTTCCTGCAGGACCAAGAGGCTTCGGGGCTTCAGAAGCAGGGACAAGAAGTGGCGCTGCTCTTCTGTCTGTAGGGCAGGCTCCTGGACAAAGGCAAAGACAGCTTTAGGGCTGAGGGTCCTGGGAGAAAGGAACAGGTGGCCGTGGCCGGTCCCAGGGTGGTGAGAAGGGCAAACTGGCAACTGGGAGGATGAGGAGGAGGAGGTTCAAGCTTGAGCCCTGGAAGTCACAAGGTGACCTTCCAGGTAGTCACAATGCCCAAAATCCTACTGGTGTCTGTGCAAGGTTTGCGTCTCTTGCTATGGCTAATTGTAGCTAATTGACAAGGTGCCCGGGAGCCTCTGGTGTGTGCAACTGGGCACAGGACCTGACATGTGGCATGAGAGATGCCAGAGCGCATGCCATCCAGGAGCCACAGCAAAGGACACGAACGTTGCAGAAACACCCACCGGGGTCCTGTTTCCTTTTTCTCCCTTCCCCAAAGGGTGAAGAAGATCATCGGGGGGAGCAAAGCCTGCCTCGACCTCACCAAGGGATGGGTAATTTAGAGGCAACTAAGGAGTGAATGCAAGTGCCCCCCCCCTACAGTGACTGCCTGGCCACCATTCTGCCCTGGAAATGCCAGCTGCAGGATCCCCACTTGACCAAGTTTCCCTCGTCCCAAAATGCCAAGCAAGCACCACCATGGACAGAAGCAGGGCTGCACCCCAGGGCGCTCAAAAGCGCACCTGGCAGGTGCGGTTCCTTCCTTTGTACAACAACAACAATGCAGAACAATCGAGGGAACATTTTACTCCCGGGCAGCAGTGGAAGCAGGCCACCCAGGCTACGGCTGGGGCAGGTGGGTGCCCTGCCTCCCCATCCCATAAGCTGACAAGATTCCCACCTCTGGGGTGGGAATCTGACACCTCTGGAGTCAGTCCAGCTCCAGGGACCCTCCCCTCCCTCAGAGAAAAAGATGGGGAGAAATACCGACACAA